AAAATTAAAATTAAAATTAAAATTAAAATTAAAATTAAAATTAAAATTAAAATTTAATTTAAATTAGTATAAATTATTTGATTTAATTTAGAAATTAACTGATTAATAATTTCTATTCAATTACATTTCAAGCTAATACATTATTCAAATGTTTTTGTCTAAAGCCAAATAGAGAAGAATAAAATCATATTTTATTAAAAACAAGTTACTTCTAAAAAATACTCATTAAATTTCCGTTTCATTTGAAAATCCAAATGAATGAAAATTGAAATATATTGGCATGTTTATATTATACTCTTATCTACAACCTTAAATATAAATAATATGTTTGTAATATATATTATATATTATATATTCATATATATTGTATATCTAATTTATAGTTCTATTAACGAGTTAGTGGACTGCTCTGAGAACGCGGCACGTAAGATCTGTGGCAATGAAGCGGCCAAGTTTACTCGCGAACTGGTTGATAAATACGCCAACAGCTTAACCAAGGTGAGATTTTAATACCATTCATCCCAATTACGAATCTGCATTTGGGCAGTAAGCTCAACCGCATTGCATTTTATTCCTTAAGAAGTCTCACCAGGTGAGAGGTGACCATAAACTTTCTCGTTTTGATCATTCAATTGCAGATCTACTGCGAGGACTTCACTCGACATCCGCAAATATGTCGAGATGACGAAGGGGATGGGGCCAGTGCTTTGGGGCGCAGTGGTTTGGGGCTAGTCACATGCCTGTTATTGTTGCAGCTGGTCAGATAGATGGAGATGCTTGCAGTCACACAGGACAATTAAATTTCCTTTCTGAAAATACACACACTCACACACATATATATGCATATCCACAGCCACACATAATTCAAGTTATACAATAGTTAAGGTTTCTAGAACACAGAGGTGCAGCAAGAGAAGAAGAAGAACCATTTATTGGAAATTCTGTAAGCATGTTATTTGTTGTGTACATTCGCGGACTTGCTTAGAATTGCTATTCAGAGAATTTAGGGTTGATCGATGGGACGCTGAGGCAGGAGATGAGAGAAAACAAACATCAAAAATTTTAAGGTACATGTAAAAGTAAAGCGTATAGTCAGTGTGTACACATACTACCCAGATATATATTTATAAATAAGTTGAAAGTCTTCATAGGTTTTAGGTTAGTGTCTATGAGTGTGTTGAATGTTACTTCTAGAACGAAATGTTGTTGACAGTTAACGATTGGCACATTGAAGCATTGAGTGCAATAACATATTAGTTGAGTTGCCTCTTGCAGGGCAAATTGTTCACATAAGATTATTATTATATGAAAATAAATGCTTATATTGTTGCAATTAATTTGTTTCCGCATGAGCTAGGAGTTTTGATTCTTATGCTATTTATTTAAATACGGCAAGATTATCCGTAAGCAAACACAATATAATCGCGCACAAAGCAAAAGCAATAATCCACGGTTAAGAAACGAGAATTGAGGTGCATTTCCTAATGAATTTAATAATGATTTCTAAAAAATAAAGGGGAATTTTTAGTTTAGCAATTTAAGATTTATTGGGAACTTTATAATAAAGTTATATAGAGAAAGCCCAAAATGTAAATATATATACTTAAAAACTGTATTAAATAAAAATATAATAAACATAAACAAAAACATAAACAAAAGAAAATGCAAAAGCGATAGATAAAAATCAATTTAAAATATATAAATACCAATATTTTAAGGCATTCAAGTGCGACACAAAAAGCATTAGTTTAAATTAAAAACTGTGAATATATTATGATTAAAGAGCAACACATATATTTTAAGTAAAAACTATACACACACACTCACAAAAAATTACCAACAAACACTCACATAAAAAAAGTAAAAAAAATAAAATGAAAATAAATTAACAAAGATGCAAAAAAGAACACAAAAACTGTGTTAAAATGCTTTTACTGCAGCAAGCACCGCAAAAAACTGCTGCCAAGGGGGTGGTGACAGGGGGCATGTGTTCGGGGTAGCTGTGTGCAAGGGCTGAGCACGAAACGCTTTTGCCGCACAACTATTCGCGTCTGGCGCCCAAAAGAATGCCGCGCAAATATGGGAGCATGAGCTGAGTGAGCAGCCGTGTCCAATGCATTGGCGCCTGCCACGCCCATAAATTATGCTTATGCATTTGGGGCCTTAGGCAACGAATAACTAATTTACAGGGTATATACATAGCCCAAGGACAATAGAGACTCATAATTGTCAAAGGTTAGCGAAACACTTAAGGAATATCTTACGTCCTTCCGCCTCATCGATAACAGCAATTGATTAATTCACACAAAGCTGAGCAAGCCCAGTGAGTTAAGTAAGGCTTTCAGATAACTGAGCTGAGCTGAGATGCCTAAGGGTTAAGGGCAGTTCAAGTCAAGCCAATTTGAGAATATGAAGAAGAAAATAAATTAAAATAGAAATAGAAATCGATTTATGAATCGTTCGTTAAGATCAAATTGTTATTCTGATTTATATATCTGATGCATATACAACATGTAAGAAAGCTCTAGTCAAGACTGCTCGACTACGAGATACCCTTCGAGCAACTGATATTTCAATAATAATTCGCACATACACACGCACAGACA